CTGTGTGGAGCTAATGAGAAGCTCAGAGAAAGAACTAAGGTAATAGATGTCATCATAAAAGTTCAAAATGGTCTTGACAGGGTGAAATATTATTTTGAAAACAATTAAGAAGTTTGATTTTTTTGAGTAATCCCAGCAGTCGAAAATAGGGAAACTTGCTAGGGCATCAGTCCACGAGAAGAAATCACAAACGCTCTGACCAGTAGTGCTATGTAGTTATTGAAAAACAAAACCCCCCCAAAACTATTACTTTTTTAGACTGTATTAATCAAAACAGTCAAAACCTGGAAACCAGTTTAAAGATGATCCAGTCCTAACCTAATTACAAAATACAGATCCATGAGTAAGACCATAGGGTGCAATCCAGAAAAGTTAGTTATACTCTGAGCTTGTCAGAGGATATGTGGCTTGGGGGGCTTCATTTCAGACTCTACATTTTAGAAGGAGGACTAGAGTATGTCAGAAGCACTAGAATGTCATGTTGCTGAGGGATCTGGCCACTGAGTTATTTCCATACTGATGGGTGGAATTGAGGTCAGTTAGTCTGTAGGAAAGAAGAGGCAAAGGATAAGAGTAGGTGGCAACTACCTGCAAACAAATAATTAGTGGCTGTCTTTAGACAGAGAACTTAGAAGAAAGAAAACAAAAACTGCAGAATGGCATAAGGAGAAGGTGAAAGAAGCATAAAAACAAGAGAAGGAACCAAGTTCTCACTACACACAAAATGATCCCAATGCACCAGGTGCCATCTTCACGATCACGCAGCGCAGCGCAGGACCTTCAGCCTGGTCCTGACTTAACCCCTGCAGTTACCGGGCACTCACTGTGGGCCAAGCTCTGTGCTGAGAACTTTCCCTATATTATGTCTTTAGTCCTTTCAGTACTGTGCAGTGATGCTGTCACGATCCTTTACATTTTATACATAAGGAGACAGAGGCTTAAACAGATTGGATAACTTGTCTGTGTGAGTGGCAGAGCTAGGGATTAAACCAGATCTTACTGGTTGCAAAGTGGATGAGCTGATCACTAGGCCACAGTTATCTCCTCCTTAGGCTCAGTTTTACAAATCCCAGTACGTTCCATTATTCACATACTGAGCCGATATTGACTGAAGGTAGTAGTTTTCTTTTGACACCATGACGGATTACCACAAACTTGGTGACTTAAAATAACCCAAGTTTATTACCTTGCAGTTCTGCTGTTCTGAAATCCAGCATGGGTCTCACTGGGATAAAATCAAGGATTCAGCCCAGTTGCATCCCTTCTGGAGGCTCTGGGGGGGAATTCATTCTTTGATTTTCCCAGCTTCTAGGGTCTGTCTGAATTCCCTGGCTTGTGGCTCCCTTCTTCTGTTTCATAGGATTAGTGCATGGGCATCTTCGGGGAGCTATATTCTTCCTAACACAGGTACCTGCCCTGTACCAGGTATTGCTCCAGGCAATACGAGATAGACAAGGAGGAGAAAGACAACAGCAAGTAAACAAATACATATGCCAGACAATCTGTGTGGCAAAAGCAAAAAACAATATAATCATCTCAGTAGCTGCAGGAAAAGCATTTGACCAAATTTAACAGTCATTCCCCCACCACTTCTCCTTTGCTGGGAATGCTCATACTCATCCTTCTGGATCTCACCTTAGATGTCTCCTCTTGAAGAAACAATTTCAGGCGTATAAGTAAGTGCTTAACAAACACAAATGTCTGTTTTTATTTTTACTTACTTATATAATAGTATTTTAAAATCACACGGTGCTTTCTCAACTTACGCAACAGATGGATGTTTATTATCACAGGTGAGTCAATTCACATTTCTGAATAACATGGGCATTGTGATTACATTTTAGTAAAAGCAAACAAGTAAGCAAAACCCCTTTATATGTGTGTCAGTTGTTGTAAGGAGCAAGGAGAAAAGTGTAGAAGAATATATATCAGGCTGTTAGTGGACAGCAGATGATCAGCTTTGGTTTCTGCATCTTTGTGCTGATAAATACTCGTGGAATGGATGAACAAGGACTGCTACTAATGGTTAAATAATGAGTGGGTTCTGTAAGGTAGTGAGCATCCACTGATCCTTGAGGACTGAGTGGGTATCATCTTGCTCAAATCATACACTCTTCTGTTTGTTTTATTTTAGCTACATTTTGACATCTGGTTAACCTAGATGGTTTCCTAAGTGAATTAAAAACCAAGAGAGCATAAATAATCAATTTCTGTACTGTATCCAACTTGCTTAATAGATTCTTATGCCATAATTTCCTCTTCTGCAAATTAGGAATAATAGACTTTCTGTAAGAATAACACAATTAGACTGGTTAAAAGGCACTTATATTCATAAAGTACCAAAGAGTTGTCGAGTATAAGTGAAAACTCTCTAATTTTTCTTTTGTTACATCCATGCCAACTGATTATGCTCCAGAAAAATATATTATAAAGCACTGCTATGATCCACCTTAAAGTTGAATGTATTTGAACAAATGTCACCCTTTTTCCATAACCTTTAAAATTAAATCTTCTTCCTTTCTGGGTCTGGACACTAAGTCGGGATCTGGTAGAGGAAGAGCCAAATCCCAGGCTATTCCTCATACAGAAGCTTTTTCATGAGTTTGCACTGTAGCCAGACTGTATCTTTGGACTCCATATAACCAGTGTTTGAGTCATTAAAGCAATTGGAGCAAACATTCAAAAGAAACTTCAGAGTCATCACCCAAGCTTAGAGATAACTCTAAGCCTACACAACTTGGACAAGTATCTGAGGTGGCCTTTGAGGATGAAGGGGAAGACAAATGCTTTCCAAAACCAGATAGATTCTGTGGGAGATTTTCCACACAGACCATACTTGCATTGCTTCTTATTTCTCCCTAGTAGCAAAGTATAGATGTGGCTTCACCCTATGATATTACAGCAGCCTTCTTTCTCCTCTCTTCGATTTCAACTCTCTTGTATTCGCTGATACTCAGCTTATGTCCATTGGCTGTTTCCTCCATGCAAGAAATCAGTGAAGAAAGAAGGAGAGATTGAGGTGCTTTACTTCTCATTTACATCTCTCCATTCTCAACAGTGCCACCCCCAATAACCAAATTGTGTTTTCTTCATAATAAGCTTTACCTTGATTCAATTTTTTCATCTATAAAATGAAGGTAATGATGAGATCTGACTTATATGGCTATTTTGAGAATTTAACAAGATAATTAAGGTAAGATACTTAGAACATTGCCTTGAACAGCGATCACTCATTAAATCATAGCTGTAATGAATATTAGCAATATTAATACTCTTCATTTATCATTCCACATTTATTTTGTCTTAATAAGGACAGGGTATGTTTAGAGTTCTGACAGATGTGAAGAAATGCAAAAGCCAGAAAGAATTAATCGACCTTATAGCTGTGTTAAAGAAAATCTCACGAGCAGCCCAAATTTCACTCCCTATTCATAGGCACTAGTCAGATAAAGAATTACTCCAGTAGATGCATCCTTGGCAACCTGAAATGGTGTGCTATCCCTCCTGCCTTGTTATTCTTGTGGGTGGAGCTCTTTAACACCTTCTCTCAGAATGGCAGAAACATCATTTTCTCTCTCTCATCTCTTCTTGTTTCCCCTTCATGTCTACTTATCCTTCGTCACTGAAATTATTCGGCTCTTCCACGCCCAGGCTTACAATACCCGACTGGGCTCCGAAGGTCACAGGCCCAAGATGAAACAATTCAGCTTTTCCCCGCCCCCCTAGAATGTTGGGACCTGAGAGAGATGGCAAAGGGCTAGAACTTGGCTAGATGGAAGCTTTGTATCACATGGGTTGTTTAAATATTCATGCAGCCTCTTCTGGCAGCTAACAAGGCTGCAAACTTTGCCCAGAAAAAGAAAAAGGAAGATAATTACTGAATTTCATAGCATTCTGAAATGGCTGCTGTGAAGGAAAAACTTAAGTGCTGATTTTTGGTTTAATCTCTCAGGCAAATGTATTTTTTTTTATTCAATGCAGGACAATAGGCAAGTGATTAAATGCATTTCTAAGTATTTTTTCTGAGCGTGTCATCAGTGTTAGATACCCACTGACATTAATACCATAAAAACGTATTGGACTGTCAAAGCCACCTCCTTTATAATTACTTTACTAATGACTTGAAATATTAACTGACACATCCCGTTGCAGTCAACAGCTTTGCTTATGTAGTAACACAGGTTGAAATGATCAGCAACTGAGCAATAGAATAAATCAGAGTGGAAAAAAGACCAAATTATTCTTGAGCCTGGTGGCTCACAATGTGAGGACATTTCATTTAGTGAAATCAATTGGCACTATCTGCTCTTCATTAGCATATGTGAAGACACCAAAAATGTAGGTGTCTATTCATTGTTTTGTTTGTTTTAAGGAGACATTTCCCCTGATTGTAATTAAGTTTTTTTGTTGTCCTAATTCTGGCTGATAAAATTTAATTAAAACAAAGTAATTTCACAATTTCTGAAACAACATAAAAGCAAACCTTGTCACTGCACTGAACCTCAAATTCTTTCTTCAAAGTACTGTCTATTCAGTGAAAATCAACTTTATTTTGTTTTTTATAACTACAGTCACAAGTTCTGACCTATCAATTATGTGTCCTCCCAATATGGCATACAAAAATGTAAGCATTAAAAACACCCCTTCATCAGTTTGCCCCTTCTAACAATAGTGATCTAAGATGTCAATTCAGATAAAACAATAGGTACTTTAATAGTTAAATATTAATAGTTTAATAGGTACATTAAAAGTTAAAAACGTCACTTGGAATGTCAGTGTTCAGTGTTTCTAGATGATTCATATTACATAAGAATTGGCCATTAGTAAATATCAGGTAAGTAAAATTAAATAATCACCATTCTTAAATTCTACTTCTAAGAAAATTCCTTCAAAAAATTCATAACTACAGTAAATTATTTGAACCCTGTAAGCATAGATATGTCTATAAATATGTATGTGTACATATATACAAATATATAGGATATATATTAAGAAAATACCTTCATGAAAAGTTGTATTTTTCATTTAATGTTTCAGATGTACATTACCAACACAATCAAAGCCAAAGGAACAAGACTTGCTAAGCCCGTTTTATGTTTGGGCTTAATGTGTTTGGCCTTTCTTACTGGACTCAACAGAGTAGCAGAATATCGAAATCATTGGTCAGATGTGATAGCAGGCTTTCTGGTTGGAATATCTATAGCAGTATTTCTGGTAAGTACAAATTTATTTGGATCTCACTGCATTTTTAATTAACTTCTATAATCACCTGCAAGAAAATACAAGTGTGAATCATCAGGTTTCTGTAAATGTGGTGTATCAAATGATAATATGTATATTTTAGATCATTCATTTCTTCCTCCTTCCTCATTTATTCAGCCTAAAGTCAAATTTGGGAATGAAAAATACATAAATTCTACACTCAAAGGTGAACAAAATATTTTCGCATAAAATGGAACAGGGCTAAAACGCTCAGTCCTCCCTGGATAGTTTTTAAGACTAGGTTACTTGGATATTTTTAAAGTGTCCTCAGGTCACTTTTCATCCCAGAGTATCTAGAGCATCCCAAAGTACCCCAGGGCCTCAGCATAGTATCCTCCATGAACTGCCATGTCACAGCGCTGGCTAACAGGTAAACCTCATTTGAGAGATGAATTGGTTCCCTTCAGTAACTAAAAATCCATGGATGCTTTCCAAGACAATACCACCTCAAGTCAGATTTTGCCAAGAGATGAAGAGCTTATGTAGTGATTTCTAATGAAGTAAGCATACCATCTCTATTCCTTTTATAAAATCTCCTTGGAATGTTACTACAGGTTTTGGTTGTTGGAAAATATATTTTAGTCTGGCTTTCGAAATAATCAATCCATTATAAGTTTGAGTCTATAACATTTAACCCAGATGGAAAATGTGTAGACTATAAATCAAAACATATTTTTGCATTGACACATTATAATAGGAAAAAACACTTTATTTCCATTTTGATTACATTTAAATTGCTTCTCACGCTTAGCTTCCTTTCTTCAGCTCCTTTCCCTAGTTCATAACCAGTAAGCAAAAACTTGTATGAACCTTTCCAGCTAACAATTTGTGTGCCAGGCATTTTAAATAGGCAACGTTCTGTAGAACCTCCTATGGTAGAGTGATGAGTATGACCTCATCCCTGCCCCACGCCCTGTACTGCTTTTCTTCCTGATGTCACTCCCTCTGATTCCCCAGGTGCCTGGGAGCCTAGGCCCACCCCCATCTCTCTCCCAGAGATATCATATGGCCCCAGGAAAACTGGGGCCCAGGCTTGGGCCAGAGCCTTTTCGTTTCTTTCACTCACCACAGGTGAAGCAGATTGAAACATTTAAAACAAAACAAGGCAAACACCTTACATAAACCCTAAGAAAAGAACTACCAAAAGTGAAAATTTCAAAGCACTAGTGTCAGATGTAACAGTGTTTCAGCTCTGTGGGTGCAGAACCTCTTCACTTGGCATCTATCTCATCAGTCTTCCTACTTATTTTCCCGTGGCCTTTGCCAACTTCTCTTCACTTCCAGTAAACATCCTGACCCCCTGCAAGACGGAATCTAGAACGCTAATCTCTTCCCAGTCACTTCCTCATCTGAGAACCTGGTGGTGAATGAGTTGGACTGTGGATCCCCCTTGGGCTCAAGCCCCTCTGATTGCACATATTCAGAACCTTCCACAATGGTCCTTCAGACATTCCCACACACCTGGAAAATGACCTTATGAAAAGGTCACGTGAAGATAATGCTTTCACTGTAATCACTAAACAAACATTTGTGCATTCATGCACAACCATTTCTGAGTATGAGTGCCTACAGGTGCCAGGCACTGTGCCAAGCACTGGGGATGCAAGGAGGCTCAGATAACCATGATCTGTCTCCTGTGGGAGTTACAGTCTGGTTCAGGGGTCAGACAATAATAGGTTATTTCCTCAACTATTCCCTTCCTCTCTTCCTTCAAAACAGAAACATTTACTGAGCCCCTGTTAAAATCCAGGCACTGTGCTTGGTGCTGGGGATTAAATACATGAAAAAGATACAGTCTACTTAAAGAGATCACAAGATAGACACCAAGAGTTTTATAGAAGGTTAAAGGTAATGATATTGGTTCATATACTCAGGAGATCTCTGTTGGGATTAGGGACAGTCAGAAAGGGGAGGGGATACATTAACTTGCAAAGTTTGTAAAGCAGGGAGGTCTAAGGAGGGGCATAAGGCATGAGAGCAAAGAGCACAGTGCGCAGAGACAATATAAAATGCTTCATAAAATAGGCATTTATGGAGCCCTTAGTCTATTGTGGGCCTGGACAGAGCATGCACACGAGGGGCAGTGGCATCATGGAATGGCACCAGTCATCCAGCGTGAGTGACAAGAGTGGGAAATAGAAGAACACAGGGGTAGTTATCCTGAATGGCCTTGTAGGTTACAATAATCTGGGCTTTTTCTCTTTGTAATGGAGGTGACTTGAGAGCCACAGTCAGAGTTCAAGTGAGTTAAAGCTGGTTGAATCTCAGCTTCCTTACTTACTCAGTTTGTGCCATTATGCAGTTTTCCTTATTTGTGCCATTACCAATGGACCTTTCCGAGCCTCAGGTTCTTCCTCATTAAATGAGGCCAATAACAGCCTCCTTAAAGCTTATAAAGACTTAAAAGTTTAAATGAAATAGTGTATGTTCAACGAATGGACACATGAATGACTGAAATCAGTTCCATAAATGATAGTTTGCTTCCTTTCAGCCCCTTTTACTCGATGATAAAATCCGTGCTTTGAAAGTAGGTTTGTTGGAAAGTAAAACTCCAGATGAGGATAGAGGAGGCAAGTTGTGCAGAACCAGGGAAATCAGATGGCCCAAATCAGGCCTCTGTGAGCACAGAGAGAAGGGAGACTATCTGGGAGGTCTGTGGAGATGGAAGGCTTGGAGCTTGATGGCACACTGGGGATGACGGAGGCGAAGAAGAGAGAGCAATCCGTGATAGTTCCCGGACTTCTCATTTGGGCAAGTAGAACATTTATTCTGAGCAGCGACTCCAGCTCTGGCTTGCAATATCCTGGGGTGTCTCCAATTATCTTGCAGTGTGTGCAGAACTCTAAAATGGTTCCAGAATAAAATGAGCACTAACCTACTCCAAGACTCTATGTCTCAGTTGAAGGCATCCACATCCCCCAGTCACCCAGACCCAATGTCTAGCGTCTGTCTTTGACTCATTCTTCTCGTTCATCCCCCACACCCAGTGATTCATCTGGTCCCAGTTTATTTCCACTACAAAATGTCTCCTCCACATTTCATTTCTTGGCCATTGTGACCAAAATGTATACCGTGGGACTGTACTCGATTTTTGAGATTAGTGCTTTTTCCCTTTCTTCTTTCTCTGGGTTCCTAACTGCCTCCTCACTTCAGACTCTCCTCCAAATACTTTCCATTCTGCCTCTATTTTCTTTAGAACATAATCCGTTGCTAATAACAAGACAAAACAAACAAACAAAAAAACAAACCTCATTCCTGCTGCATTAAACCCAGATACTTCCACTGGGCTTCTGGGATTGTCCATAATCTAGCTGCCCTCTTCCCAGCCAAGTTTATTTTCCCTCCTTGCAGGGGAATCCTATACAATGTATCCACTCAGTTTCCTTACCCTCGCAGACAGGTTCTGTCCGGCCTTTATGTTTGCCCCAGCGAGAATGCCCATTCCTCTGTATATTTTAGAGAGCAAAACAGGTGTCTAGGAGCCACGTGAACCTAGGTTTGAATCCTGCTTTTGCCACATGCTGCGTGTGTGACCTTGAACAAGTCACTTGTCTCATTTTTTCTAACCTAGTGAGGCCTCCCTGACCTGTATTTAAAACGGCTTTCCGCCCCACAAGGAATCCTTTCCTCATTCCCTATTCACTTTTCTCCGTAGCATGTTTCAACTTCTAATATACCACATACAATATTTTTTTTTGCTGTCAAACCCACTAGGATGTAAGCTGTGCATGGAGAAGGCATTTGTTTTCTTTATCGTGAATTCTCAGTACGCAGTACAGGGTCTGGTAGTTAGGGGGTTCTCAGGAAATACTTGATGGATGAATGAATGAATGGGGAACTGGTTTATTTCTTCCCAGAGCTCTTTCAAGGGTTAAGTGAAATCCCATATGTAGTAAGTACAGGTGAGTGTGTGGTGCAGAGAAGGAGATGCAGATCATGGTCCTCACCTTTGATGACTGTTGAGATCCTTTTTGCGCTTGAGATTTTTCTCAGACAAGTCCCAACTTGCCCAAAAGGTGTCCCTGACTACCTCGTTCTCTCATTTTTCCTGAGTTTCCACTGCCCTCAAAGTCTGGCCTGTTATACTCTAATGAGGATTAATATCCTGTCCTGTTTATCACTCTCATCCCATGTGCATTTTCTTTAAAGTTAGAGAACAGGGGCACTTGGGTGGCTCAGTCGGTTAAGTATCTGCCTTCAGCTCAGGTCATGATCCCAGGGTCCTGGGATCAAGTCCCACATGCTCCCTGCTCAGTGGAGAGCCTGCTTCTCCCTCTCGCTCTGCCTGCTTGTACTCCGTCTCTCTCTGTCTCTCTGTCTGTCAAATAAATAAATAAAAATAAATAAAGTTAGAGAACAGAGTCCCCATGCTTAAGAAAATGCAAAACAAATACTAGTTGAACAATAGCTGTAGATTGGTTAATATTGTTTAACAAATATATGCTTAACAAATGTATGCTTCAGAGTGCTTCCAAAAAAGATGCCCAGGTCCAGTCGAGTAGTTCAAGTTTACTGAGGCACAGCAAGAACTTGTCATGTTATCATATGTAATATAATAATAACAATAAGAGTTATTTGTGCAGTCTTTACTACATTAACTCAATTAATCCTCACAACAGCACAGTGAGATGTAGTTATTATTGTTCTCATTTTGCAGGTAAAAAAAGAGCAGGTCTAGTTATATTGAGTTGTTTGCCCAGGCTCACAGTGAGTAAATCAGAGAGCCTGGCATTAAGGCCCAGTCCTTTTGACCCCCAGAGCCTATGCACCTACCCCCAAGCAATACAGATGTTTTACTTGCTACAAATGAAGAGGGAAAATGACCACAAATAGATCAAATTAATTTATTATCACCACTGGCAAAAGAACACAAAAATATATGTGTAATGGTGACTTATTAGTGTCATTTTTGTAGGACAGGGTAGAATTATACACGTGGAAGCCATTAATGTAAAGATAGAATGTTTCAGAGGAATGTCACTTTAAATTATATAGGAACATCAGAAAATTTGAGAATTCTTGGCCTTGGCTCATTCATTAGTCAATTCATTCACTGTGGCACTGGGAATACAATGGTGAGCAAAAAAAAAAAAAAAAGAGAGAGAGAGAGAGAGACAGCATCTCTGCTTTTGTAGCGCTTACAAGGAAGCTCTCTAAAGAAGAGATTCACATCAACCGAAGTATTATGTATTATGCTAACAGATGTATAATTTCACTAGAAATCGGTGCTTTGATGAAAGCATCAGGGATTGACTTGATCAAACAAATAAAAACAGCCTGAGGTCAGAGAAAGCCAGTGAAGAAGCGATACTGAGATGAGATACCACAGATGAGTAGGATATGGTGCCCAAAGAATGTGGAGTTGAGTATTCCAAACAAAAGGCAGTGAAAGGGAAGGACAAAGAAGGAAGGCTGCAAAGGTGGGCAAGGTTTACACTATAAGAGAAATGGATAACCCAGTCACATAGTTTGAAAAAGGCTGACATGATCCAATTTGCATTTTGGAAAGATCATTCTTATGTCACTATAGAAATGGATTGGAGGGAGCCAAGATTGGATTTAGGGAGACTTTAGAAAGCTACGCAGGAATCCAGGCAAGTGGTGGTGATGGCTTAGTCTTTGGAGTTGGTGGTGGAGATTGAAGAAAGCAGATATAAGAAATCAAAATTTTTAGGAAGGAAAATTGAGCAAATTGACTGGTTGTGTATAGGAGGTGTAAAGGATGAATCCAAGTTTTCAGCCTTATGCAATTAGGGGAGAGGGCATGTGGGGGTTGTTTTCCTGAGAAGATCCAGAAAAATATCAAGCTTTATAGTGGAGTCAGGAGATAGGCAGATCTTAGGTTTCACTTTGAACATTTGTTGAATTTTTCCTACCTTTGACAACCAAAGGAATGGACTAGCTTGGTAAGATATTGCAACCTCTTCCCTTACAAATTGAGAAAACTCAGACCCAGAGGACTGTCCAAGAACATACAGACTTGGGATCAAAAACCAAGCTTCTTGCTTTTACCTATAAGCATTTTTCTTTCTTATTTTTTTAAGATTTTATTTATTAATTTGACAGAGAGATTGAGAGAGAGAGAGAGAGGCAGGAGAAGAACAGAGGGAGAGGGACAAGCAGACTTCCACGCGGGGCTCAATCCCACGACCCTGAGATCATGACCTGAGCTGAAATCAAGAGTTGAATGCTTAACCGACTGAGTCACCCAGCCCCCACCATGAGCATTTTTCTGATAGGAGATCAGTTCCATACTTATGAATGTTAGCAGGCAAGACATGTTAAATATTTGAATATGGTTCTAAAGAAGATTTGGCATTTCCTCCCTTATAATTTAAATAATAACAGTAATGAAGAATAATCATTATGTTAATAGATGCTATTTAATGAATATCTACTATCTGTTAGGTGTTTAAATAGTTCACATATGAATTCTCAGCTGCTTCAGTGGTGTTGTCCTAACCCTCAATTACGGTGAAGAGATAACTGATACAACCTGTCAAAGAGTTTACCAAACCTAAATAATATAAAAGCAATTATACTAATCTCAAAAGCCCATATTAACTCTAGATGAACTGTTCTTCATCTCATGACTTCCGTACATCTATATACATAGTTATTTCATTTCAACAAATTTTACTTCACAAGAATTTGTAGCAATTTTTTTCATCTGCTTAATCTTTCATTAGTTTGTTTCTATTAATGAAAAGGGAAGTATATGTTTGTATATTTCATGAAGTGATTGTGGAAGCTTCTTGACTATTATGTTGCTATTGGCTAAAATTTTTGATTATATCCTTTGTACTCCAAGCTGTGGTCAGTTGGCAAACTATAGCCATTAGGTGAAATTTGGCCTGCTATTTTTTTTTTTTAAGTTACATTGGAACACTGACATGCCCATTCATTACGAATTGTCTATGGCTGTTTTCACACCAAAATATCAGAGTTGAATAGCTGCTGCAGAGATTATGTGCTAGCAAAGCCAAAAATATGTACTATTTGCCCCTTACAGCCAAAATTTACTGACATGATTTGATACTAGGCTTATCAAGTACCCATCTCTAAGCTTGTACCATCCCTTACATTAAAGATCTTGATGGCAATGATAAAGTTAATGAATCAAATTATCAGGCTTTGATCTGTGTTTCTGATCTGTAATTATTCATGGAAATGGAAGGATAATAAGTATTCCACAACTAGGGAAATATTTTCTCTAAGATAAAGTCTCATAGTATGTGTTATTATTTTGTAGATTTATAAATTTTATTTAAAAACTGGAGAATAACCAAGATCTAATTGGCCTTTGAAAATATTCAGTAATGAGCTCTACTAAAGAAAAGGCTTTCCAAAGGAGCATTTGTGAAAATCTACAATGTAAATGTGTAATTACATATTAAGCATTTATTCTTTTAAAAAATGAATGTTAGGTTACAACTGCAAGGAAGTTCTGTATTCTGGCTTGATAACAAGCTATAAACCCAGAAAAAGAAGGCTCAAGAATATCTTATCCACTGCTTAATATAAGCAAACAATAGCAAGTAATTTTCCTGTGTTGTTTAATTCACTATTTCTTAAAAGTATGATTCACCTGCATCAGAAGCTTCTGCAATGTATTTCAAAAAAGTGGCAACTCCTAGGCCCCATCCTTCATCTACAAAATCAGAATCTTTAGGAGAGGGCTTAGGAACGTGCATTTTTAACAGTGGTGGGCCTTTATTTTTATGTAACCTGAAGTATGAGAACCTCTGGCTTAGTTCAAATGCTGTCACCTATGGGATATAATCAGTTGAAACAAGGGTCAATTTCCTTTATGTAAAATGTCTTATATTTCACTGGTAGCCACAGTAAGCTATTGTTGAAATGCCAAGTATACATGGGATACAATAATAAACAATGAACTAGGTTAATTAAAGGGATGCTACTAAATTAGAAAGTGCCAATTGTAGAAGGTTTGTTATGAATGTAATGATCTTGAAGCAATGAGAAATAATTAGCATTTAAATTAAGTTGTAGGTTAGCTGCATTAGGGAAAGGTTAGCTTGCTATGAATTTTTATAAGGCTATGATGTTATTTATGGATTGATTTGAGCATTGACTATAACCTAATTTAATGAAAATTTTAGAATAATGAAATTGTCATTATTAACTGAGCTACACATTATTTGATACATTTTCTTGAACACATTTACACTGGAATAAAATTTATACTAGATAAACCTGGATCTAAAGTTATATATGTAATACTTAAGTAATTTTAATACTTTATTTCTATGATTAGATTTAGTAAGCTACTTAAAAGGTCATAGTCACAGGGAGTGTGGCTTTGCTTCAACTGCATTTTTTTCCTGAAATTTTAGGTTGTGTGTGTGGTAAATAATTTCAAAGGAAGACAACCAGAAAATGAACATATACACACGGATAATCTGGCACAGATGCCAATGATCAGCATTCCTCGAGTAGAAAGTCCTTTGGAAAAGGTAACATCTGTACACGTGATTCATAATTTAAATTCTCCAATGTGATTGTTATCTAGAGCAAATGAATAATCATTCCTGAGAGTTCTCCACAGTCATGTTTGATTTACTGAAGCAAATTTAGAATCTAATGTGGTGTTTAGCAAGAATTTAGTCACTGATAGCATCATCTTAGAAAAATGCATATCACATTGAAAATAATTCTTTGAATACCTCATGCTAAAAGCTGAGTATTTATGTATGGAATATGTTCTGTACTTTGCCATAACTTTGAGATAAGGAACACTGTGCAGTGATGGGTCTCATGCATGGGTGAAATGATAAGGTAGCCTCATTTGAGAATATATGCATTTTTTTCATAAAATACATTCCACTTTTCCCATCATCTATTTATGTGAGAGAAGGCTTAGGATAATGCCTAGGACATAATATGGCTCAATAAATTTTGTTGAATCTCATTATATAAAGATCTGGCAGCAAGAAAACACCAGTCATGCTCTCCTAATCAGGGAGGTCCTGAGGGTCAGGTTGGGCAGAATGGAGCCGGACCAGGTAGCACTTTGAATGGCAGGTCAAGGCTTCATTGGGCATGACAATGAACCAATAGCCAGGTATTTAACAAAACTTTTCTTGAGACTTTTTCTCTAAACTTATCTGGTGAACTATGGAGGGTAATATTACTTAAATGATGATGCAATTATGTACATTTGTAATTGGTTCAGTGATTACCCAGAGGGTTATTAAAGGCTTCTCATCAGTCCTGTCCATACCCACATTTTGATAGATATGTTAGATGAAGAGATCAATTACATGCTAATCAGGGGCTTAGATGGTATGAATCAGTGAGGGATAATTAATACATTGGTTGAAAAAATAAAAGTTCTTGAGAGATTAGATACAATTAACAACTTGAAATAAAGCAAATGTTTTGGATTTGGGTTTAAAAAGAAGTTCATGTAGGGTAGGGTACATCTAGGGTAACTACACAAACAAAAAAGCCTAAGAGGGTATAGTAGGTTACCATTTGGCATGTGTCAACAGCATGTTACAGCTGCCAAGACTTATATGATCTTAAGTTCCACTTAGTGAAAATAATATCCTGAATGAGGGGATTGATGGTTTGCTCTGCTCATACTAACTTGGAACACCAAAAACTGCCCTTATTGACATAGTCTTGAGGAGGGCATCAATAAAATAGAGTAGTCAGTACTCAAATATTTGTTAAATGCGTGAATGAATGTGTCCAGGACAGTGAGTGGACTCAAAGTCATGGATTATGAAAGACTGTTGAAGGAATAAAAAGTGATAGAGAAGAAAGAAAACTCATGGAAGAAGTAATAACGTTCCATACATATCTGAAGGACTATTGTATGGCAGAGGGATGCAATTTGTTCCGCCAGCGCCTCAGAGGTCACGGTTAGGATGACAGAAATGAAAGTGTTAAGAAGACAAATAATGTCTAGAAAGAAGGAAAAACTTTCTCAAAATGGGATGTCTTCCTTAGGAAAAATGAAATTTCCTTTTTAAAAAAAAATTCCTTTTATTATAAGGATTCAAGAAGAGTTAAACTATCACTTATCCATGATACTGTGGAGGGAATTCAAGCATCACTGTGAGGATAGAGGTACTAGATCATCATCATAATAATAACAATATTAATAGCTATGTTTTAATAATCATTTGGTATGTGTCAAGTACTATGCAGATTGCTTATGTAAATTCCACAAATACACTTCTATGCTCTGAAAGTCTAACTTCATTCCTTACAACAATTTTTAAAGCTGGGTGTCATCTTAGTGGCAAACGCTGCTAATAGTCCACAGTATCCCTTCCCCCATTCTTCCTTTTAGTAACTGAATTCCCCAATCCAATTTTAGCTACATCTGCCACTGCCTAGCCTTAGTCTTTATCTCCCAGCTACCACTGCAGGTAGGCGTGACCATGCAGCTAAGTTTAGACCAACGGGATGTAAGTAGAAGTGGTCAGTGCAGTCTCTGGTTCATCGCTTGAGGACTCTTGTCTCTGTCTCTCCTCACCCTTTTCATCAAGTGGAAAAGGTATGACTGGAAGTTATCTTTAACTTTTTAAGATGACCGATCCACTTTGACAGCCTAAGCTCCTGGATGAGCTCAGGGAGCAGTCCACAGACACACTCTAGATGGTTCTGAAAAAGAAAGAAACTTCTTTCCTCTCTGAACCATTGGATTGTTTTCACCTCTTTCCCACAGTGGCTTAGCTGATGCCCGATTACAGTAAGTGTCTCCATTGTACAGTTAAGAAAACTAAACTCCCAAGTGTTAAGCAATTTGCAAAAGTCCACATCATCGATAAGCAGCAAAGTTATACAATGTGGTATTTCCAGATACATGTGTTTTGTTTAAAACTGAATAATATATAAAAAATGATATCTTTTTTAACTCAAGAAATGAATATAGAAAGCAACAGAATTTAGGAAGAGATATTAGACATATTTTGAAGACAATGGTCAGGTTAATAATTAGTCTTCATTTTATATACCTCTGAAGTTAACTTGAAAAATAATCACTGTCTTCTGTTTTTTAACATATTTATTTGTGTAAAGGTTCTTTAGTAACCTCCTAGCATTGCCAAGTATCCTTATATATCATTACATCCTTTTATATATAAAATGATCATAAATTCCTGTTGTTGAATTTAAGCAAATTTATTTTTATTTAGTGAGTTTTAAAATATGAAAGCAAAGATATTCTATTAGAATCTGTAGATTTCAAGACATCAGTGTGTATTAACTTCTTTCATTAATTATTTTGTTTATGACAAATTCATGTGCTCTGTTTTTACTTTGGTAGTTAGGGAATAAAGGTGATTTAGTGATTTGAATCGTACTCGGTTCTCCCTTTTGCCCCCCGAAGGGCATTGGCACACACCTTGCTGAGTTCCAACTTTGCTCCCCACTCTTTTTATCCTGTTGCCAGGCAGAATGCTGCCTGCACGATGCAGGATCTGCTCCTGCATCACACAGACCACAGGAGGATCACGAATCAAGCTACTGGGGACGTATCTCAGGCTTCCTTGTGGAGCTCTGTTGCTGAGAGGACATGTATTTATGCTCATCAGCCAAAAAGGGAGGAACGCCATCACTTAAGGAAAGCCCACAGTGGCTTTCTCTGTCTTTTGTGATACAGAATATTTAGAGTAAATATATTGCTTTTCATCATAGTTCGCGATGGGAAACAAGTGAATACAAAATTCTTCCCAGTATTTGATCTTAATAATTGATAGTTGGAGAGTGGCAATAGGTTCTTGAAACTGGCCCTCAGAGGACAAAAAGGGAGTCCAGTATGAAAGTTTGGTCTGCAGACCCCGCCAGTAGTTTGAGCACTGTGATGTATTATGCCAAGCCATCATTTTCAGCTTGCCAGTTTTGTGTGGAGAAGGCAAAGGGTTTCTTTTAGAAGTTATGTACTTACATAACCTCCTATGTTCAAAGTGCATGTTTGATAAACTGTAAGCTACAGAGTAATTACAACATGCCAGTGTTCTTTATTTTTATGCCAGCAATTTATCCCTTAATTATAGGGAGTTTCTCATATAGTTAATTACCATAGTTTATGAGGAAAAGTCATGATTTTTCTGAAAGCTAAGTAAATCTGAACATTCATTACATTTGGTTTTATGAAAAGAATTAATCATCTGTGGAAACTGGCCCCTCATATTTCATAGTCCACTAAATATTTAAGTTGCCAGTAACATCATTACAGCTGTTTGTAATATCAAATCATAAAAGTCTAACTGTGTATCAGGAGTGAATAAATGATTAAATCAGTGTTACGTTCCTATAATGGAATCCAGTACCTTATAATGCGGTGTTACAGCCACAGGTTCTGGAGGTAGACTGGCTGGGAATTTGGGACAATTTTGACCTTGGGCAGCTTATTCAAATACTCTGTGAATTTTCTCAATCATAGAATGGACGTTGTGAGAGTTCAGTAAGCTAAGAGTAAAGCACTCAGAACAGTATCTGGAACCTATAAAGCCCTTAATCACTGCCAGTTATTATTACCACTTAACAGTTGAAATGGATGGGGTAAATCAAGATGTGGAAAGTTTTCTGATACATATTGTAAAGGTTTTTTGTTTGTGTTAATTTTATTTATTTATTTATTTATTTATTTATTTATTTATTTATTTATTTGAGAAAGAGAGGGAGAGTGTCCATGTGCCCCTGAGTCAGGGGATGGGATAGCAGAGGGGAAGGGAGAGGGCCACAAGCTGACTCTGTGCCTGCTAAGCCCTTGAGCTCTTGGATCAAGTTGCAGGGCTGGATCCCAGGTCCCTGAGATCCTGACCTGAGCCAAAACCAAGAATTACGTGCTTAAAAGCCTGAGCCACGCAGGAGCCCCATGGTGGTTGTTGTTATTTTTTTTAAGTTGATATATATATCGTGTGTGTGTGTATAATGAAGCTAGTTATGTAAATTACCACACAAGATAAATTCTTTCTAGTAAGATAGAAAAGAGCATGTAGATGAAAGAGAGGAGAAAAAAGAGAGAGAGAGAGAGAAACTAGATACCAATCTGAAAGCAATGCTTCAACCTAAGGAAGCAACTGAGATAGTGTACTAGATTTCTTTTCTTTCTTTTCCTTCTTTTTGTTCCTTTGTTCTTTTGTTTTTTCATTCTTTCTTTTTTTCCTTTCATCCTCCCTTCCTCCCTTTCCTCTTTCTTTTGTTCTCTTTCTCTTTCTTTTTCTTTCTATAATGAATAATTCATGAATAATTGTGTAACAAAAATAATTACAATTATGCTCTAAGGAGGTTCTGGTTATGCTTCCTCTTATTGACTACCGATATGTTCAGATTTACTGAAGTCCCTTGGAAAGATTCCCTCACAATAATTTAAATCCCCGTGCTCCTTCCTTATGTGTCACAGGGATTTAAAAGGATCCTTTTAAAAATGTTTGGTCTATTTTTCTCTGCTGAACTGAGCATGGAGACCTTGGTTGTGGCTCCCATGCCTTCATGC